TTCAAAAGGAACATGTGAAACAAAAACTGCTTGCTAGATCGTAATCTGTCTCAGTGAAGTGATAACAGATCGAGAATGAAGTAGGTGCTCACTCGCCCTGAATCTTGTGAGCTTTAGCATAAATTAATATACCGGCTCTGATGCTCTGACCCCACCCCTTATTTCTCTCATTTTTCATGCAGATCACGCCCAGCATTACCACAATAAACCAAACATTAACTAACTTTTCATTAAAACATTAAAGCAGCTTGTACAAGTCTAATTACCTTAAAAGCCATTCATTTACCTTTCGATCAGACTTTTCAACGATATGCCTAGTCTTCTCCTTGTCTTTCTTTTTCAGTCGTTGAGCCAAAGCATCACGTTCTTCGAGGTCGACCAGCCGCTCTTTCTCGAATTTTTCCAATTCATCCTCCTCTTCAACTTTAACCTTCAATTTCTTCTTCGCTTTGCTCGAAGTATCCCTATAAACAAAATATACATTTATACAAAGACCAGAAATATTCTCATTTAAACAAAAGCAAACAATCTTTTTTGCAAAACAACCTAATATAAAAGGCAAAATTTCGTACCGGGCCACTTCCTTTTCATCGTCGCTGCTGCTGTTGACTTTATGACGCATTCGAAGGTGCTTCTTTTTGTGCACTGGCGAACGGGACCGTTTTTCTTCGTCGCTCTGCTGATCAGGCAAAAGCTGAAAAGAACTGTTCCATTGCTGGAACTCCAATGCACGTTTTTCTTTGAGCCGGTTTTCAGCTGCGGTGTTGCTGGTTGTTGGATGAGTGGATTCCCTAGGTACTTTCGACCACAGCTCCCTAGCAAACTCCGAGACGCGATCGTTCACCGGTACGGTTTCTTTGAGCCTCGACAAGAAACTGTCGGCACTGTTGCATTTCTTGACCAAAGCCACCATAAACTCGGCTACATGACGGTCACTCAAGCCGATCACATCATGCAACTTCTCGGATACCCAAAATTCCAAATTCTGCATGTCGTTCGACCAGTGAAGAGAACGAAAGCGAAATAAACAAATACTTAATATTCGATGAACAGTATCGACTACAAAAAACACGCCAAAAGATGCACACAAGTTACGTCGTCAGTCTAACGCGTTGCCATATCCGTAGCCATATCTAGAAATAAATCTAGTTTAAAAAACCAGCCGTAGCGGGTCATAATATCGGAACGTCACATAGGTACTTCACAAAAGTTAATAATAAAACAATATTTCACAGTATAACACAACTTTCAAACCTGACGTTGTTTTTCATGTGGCAGTTCGACTAAAAATTCGAAAAATCTTTTATGGTATTAGACTGCATATCATCGAATTTATTACATATTCTCCGTTTCAAATGATGTCAATCAGTCTATAGAAAGACATAATATCATAAGACACATAATCATACTACAACATTCTACTTCTATATTATAAATCTTCGTGAAGATGATACGAAATGTTGGACAATATTTAGATTCCAACAATATGACAATATGTCATTCCGTAAAACGGCTTTTTGGATTGTGAATACTGAGATATTAGTGAAATTTATCACAGGAAACGTAGTATACAATCTTCCGCGCATCGCAAACTTGCTTAATTTGTGACTTTTCAGCATGATATCTGTACAAGAGCTTCCGAACCTACTTTGCTTACGTCAAAGAGAAAAATTACAACATTCATACTAAAAACTACATCAAGATTTTACGACCAAATTACCAATTCAATGCCTTTGCTTAAAATGAAACGGTCAGATGGTACCTTCCGTTATAACTGCGAATGGCGAATGTCCTTGCTTGATTATAAAGCGTGTTTGCCCCGAATATTGTTAATATAGTTTGGCTAAAACGCCCGCAATTGTAATAAATAGTACAATCTATGTTTCCTTATGTCTATTGCCACTGAGGTAGCAACTTATTGAAAAAGAACCAGAATTGAAATGAGATTCTGAAATTGTTTTGACTTCACCTTAAGCGTCTCCGGGTCTGACTCAGGTACGGATTCAATCAAGGTTTGTCATTAACAAAACCTGAAGAAACCCTGCGAGATACAGGTAGAAACATAGTCTTAGAGTCTTACTCATACCAAAATTTTCAATCACGATGACAGCAGTAAACAACTAAATCCCATAATATTTCCTTTTAAGTTTGACTACATTGCATTTTTCATTGCCCGGTTACAAAGAACATGAGTTTATCTTCCGGAAACATGTCAATCTTTTCCTTTACGTCGTTAGCACCTTTATTTTTACGATTATAAATAATTTCTTCTACCGCAATCACTACTTCTTCCTCCTTTTCCTTCGCTCCCTCCATCACCTGATCTATACAGAAAATAAGAGAACAAACTTCTCCTTCTGTTCTTGATTGCTAGAATGTATTGAACATCACCAGACTTTTCAACACCACACTATGCCTTTTTCTCGCCGTCTTCTTTATCAGCATATTATGCATCATTTCAACCAACGGATTAATGAATCATTACGATTCTTGTCCTGAATTTCTTCCGCTATCACAACTAACAATACAATACTACTTCTTCAACACCATTATTATCAACTTATACACATGTTGCCAGACAGTGGCTCTAAGCTTTAAACATGACATATTTAAAGTGACTGTCTCGTAAGCAATGGAGTGTTTAAATATCGTTGGTTTGCAGTGAAAATATGCTTCCAAAGATATTACTGCATATTACTTTATTACAGGTATTGAAGAGTGATTATGAGTAATTATTAAACTGACGATTACGCTGGCGTACGGCGTGGAAACGCGTCGATAAATAAAGGATCTTATGTCGAATTGGTGCCCTGAACCATTGGTCGTGAAGTGAAGACCACTAACTGTATTACTTTCTTATTCGTCCTTCTCACCGTCTTCTTCTTTTTAACCATCTTCATATTGCAACATCACGATCTTTAGTTACTAAAAAATTATAAAAATTTATCTCCTCATTTATCACGAGCCGAAGTCAGTTGAGACAGCAACCTTTGAATAATCGCAAACACAAGTCTTCTGAATATTTGAAAGAAGCCCTAAAACCGAGTCTCAATATGTGGCGTTTTGATACAGTTGTCTAAGCGATTTCTTTCGAACTCTATAAGTGCCGGGATAGATTGCACTCAAGGGCAATCACTGTCTCAATCACGAATTCCCTTGAGATAGGAATTTACCACCACATTCCTTCAGACTCAGACTGTTCAAACGGTAAAAAGTGGAACTCAGAATCAGGACCTATTGGTCCTGAGTTCAAGTCCCAGTCAGTGATACTCGTCTTTATTCCTTTCGAGGTTGACAAATGCGTACCAATCTATGAGGAGGAAATAGGAGAATACACGCTACGGTTGCCACATGGATACAGTCTCTGCCTTCAAGATGCAGACAAAACTCTTGGTTGATGGCACAGAAACGGGGAGCGGCACCCAACTATCAACTTCATGAAAAGGAGGGCGCCGAAATAGTCAAATCATTACAGTAAAGGAAGAGTCGAAGTGTTCCTGTGCATGTCTTGCAGATTTTACTCTCTTCAGAGTAAATTTGATGTTTCAGGAAATTGCAGGTCTACTAAAAGTAGGACAAGATACAAAAACGTGACAGTCTTTTGAAGTTTCAAATATGACACAATCTGAATTCGGCATATCTTTTATAAAGAACAACAATGACCATGCTTTTTCTTGTCCTTCTTGCTCTGCTTCATCTCATAATAGTTCTTTCAAGATATCTCCATCTTGCAACATATTTCATACTTAGTTGTCTAGTCTTTGTTTCACAAGACCACATCTCTTGGAGGACATCTCCCTGCTACACGCACTATTAATATAGTGTAGGTATGTATTATAAGTATTTACAATACGAGTATGCATAATCATTACCCTCTAACGTACTGCAGTAATGGTTACAAACCGAGATCTAATTTAGAGAACCAGGCGATGGAATCGGTAAGTATGCATACCGAAATGAGAACCGTAAATATGAGAACACATATGAGTATTACCACGCTTTACATTACAAAATACGACACTTTCTGTAATCCGTAAATCTTTATTTTCATAAATAGCGAAATGCCAAAATCCATTTTTCTAATCTTAACCTAAGCTACCATTCAGAATGAGTATATCCGTACTTAACAAACCGCACATGCGATGAAGCAAACTGCTGTCATGAGTAAACATGCTTCCAAAAAAGATTTGGACAGTGAAGATGACAATACAACCATTGAAACATGCAATACAAGATCATCTGATCGCGAAAACCCTATTAATTCCTATTGGCAGTGAACTCCGAAGGGAAGCCGGGATCGCACTACGAAAAAAGTCTTATCTTCATCTTCTTTGACCACTTCTCCTTTTGCCTCACGGAGGCACACGCGTCATACAGGGTTTCCCACGTTCCCAATCATGAGCCAGACTCTAAGCTTTGGCAGAAGATAGCTGGAGTCTGGAGCAGAGAACTTGCACATATTTGCACCAGGATAATCTCGGCCGTTATATTCGCTGGGCCTTCAGGCGTTCGGCTTCTTCACTTCATGTAATCACAAAGCATGCCCAAACAATCGCAGTTGCGACTTCCAATTTGAAGAAGGTGCGGCTATACACCAACGTTCTCGCTGATGTCTGTAATCCGGACCAAATCGAGACGCCTAAGCCCCTCGACTCGACGGAGAAAGACCATTTCGGCCGCTTCCGCACAAGATCGACATTTTTCAGTCATGGTTCACGACTCATGACAGTAGGTAAGGATGCGGATGAAGACTTAGTTCAATACCTAGAGTTTAGTCGACAGACTCAGCTCTGCTTTAGTCACAACGGTACGAATTAGTTCACGCAAACGCCACTGGCTATTCCAATCTGACGGTCCATCTCTTCCTCAAATTTTCCATCACCAGTAAACACGACTCTGACGTACTCTAACTACTCCACCTGCTCCAATGCCTCTCCGTTAATCTTAGGAGAGCAACGGGCAGGAGAGCGAGAAAGCACTCGGCTTTACGTTTTAGATATGTTCACACGCATGACGTCCACATTGCACTGGGCTGCGAACCTTTCCAGAGAGCGCTGTCGATCAGTTTCAGAAGATAACAATTAAACAAGGATTTCTGCAAACAGCAACCTTTTCTTCTCTACATCTCCTACACCGATACTCATCGCCTTGGCTGCTCCTGACTATTCTATCCATGTACAACAAAAAACAGGGAACAAGACGCAGCCCAAGGGGAGACCAATGCCAACGCTGAAATGGATCAAGTCAGGCGATAGGATTATCACATGGATCATCGACTTTGGTGGAAGCTTCCCTGTATCGCGTACACTACATATTTCGATGCTTTAAGGTGTTCGTAACAGACAATCGGTGTTTGCACAAAACTGCAACAACTTCATGTCGTTACTTTCAAGGTCACGAGGGCCGTTCTTTCCTATCACGCCGTTCCACTTTTCAGAGTCTACTCCGGCATGCGCATTTAAATCGCCCAATACAATGAGGGGCTCTGGAGTCGGCACTTCGTACAGAGCACACTCCATTTCTCCAAGAAAGAATTCATATTTTCCGTCCCAACTGTGCGCACAGACTTGCAACAAGGTCAAACTTAGTGTAGAGTCAGTCGGAGCTATGTCACCATTCCGGTGATAGGCTTCCATTCAGTGATACCAGAACACCAACTCCGGCCTGAGCGCGGATCGTGACGTCGACACCTGAGTAGAATAACTTCCACCAGCAGAGGTTTAGGATTCCAGTGCCATGGTGCTTCGATGAAAAGATCCAACTATGTCGAGCTGGTACCATGCGGCCTCATTATCTAACTCTTGCTCTTTCCCTCCGAATGAGGA